TGCATGCCTACTTTTGATTATCCAACTGGACTCTTATTTAGTCACCTGGAGCTCTCTCCCAAGTTGAGTCTTCCCTGGAAGGAAGCAGTTGGGCCATCACCGAGGTTACTCACAACAAGATGACATGGTGTTGATAGACCCATGAGGGCCATGAGCCCCTTCCACATATTTTAATAAGCACTGGACAGACTTCTGCTCTTGCCAGTTTATCAAAACTCTGTAAGAGGAAGAAAAATTCTACAGACTTTGTATACAGTTGATGCTCCTTATTTCATTATCACCTCTTAGACAGGCATCAGTTTGGAGTTTAGGTGAAGTTCCTCGCAGTGCCTTGGGCACATCCCAGTTTGTCAGTAGCTTCTGCATGACAGATGGGTCCCAGCTATCCCAGCCACCTAGTACTGTGTCCCCATGTTCTAATATTTCTCTTCTTTCCCTCCCTATAAATTTTCCTACCCAAACTGGTAGAGCTAAACCTCTGGGAAATATCTCCTTTCCCTGCCAAACCTTCAGCTTCACCTCCCCCCGCTGAAACTTAAACACACAACATACTGCCTAAGTAAATAACACATTAAAAATTGCCAACATCAGTAGAGAAATTAAAAGCCCTCTTAAGCTCGAAATGGAATGATTCCAAGCAGTGCACCATATCTAAGGCAGACAGATCTTGTAAGAAGTGTATTGGGGATGGGGCAGAGGCCATATGGGACCTCAGAGAACCTGGGACAAGTGACTCGTAGGGTGGGGGCTGATTGGGTGGGGTTGTGGTGGAAATTTATAAATGACTGGGTTCTGAGAGTCTATAGGGATGGGCCAACTATGATGCACAGCAATCACATCTCACATAAAGAATTTTAAGTTGGACTGCCCTTTCAAGGGAAGCTGAAAAATATCCTTAACTTAGGCATAAACTCACCCTCATGGCCCTCAGTAGAGCTGGTCCTGTCGAATCCAAGCTGCCAGTTTGGCTGGGTGGAGGGTGGCCTCTGTCTTCTTCTGGGCTTGCATGTGTACAGCTTCTCCTTTCCTGACATGAGCAGGTCAGGAAGTATGGATCCACAGGGCGGTAGAGTAATGAACTTAACACTGTTAAAATTGCACAAATCACACAGTTCAGCTTAGTTTCCTTTCACACAAAACTCAAAGGGGGATCACACATATCACGGATCAGTACATCTCATATCGGTCAGGATGGATGGCTCAGGTCCGGGCTGTCCCCACCAGTCTCTTGTCACCACCATGGGCAAGCTCCACGTTGGGGAAGGTGGTGCAGCAGAATGAGGAGTCCATGACGGAGCGGGAGAGCACGGGCAGATGAGCAGGAGCGAGTGTCGGAGCACACCTCTGTCTTCCTGTGTCAGGGACCTCTGGGACGAGCTTGCCACAGGCAATCTGTGTCCAGTCCCTTATATAGAACAGTCCATAGATGCAGGGGTCGGAGATAAGAAGGGACAGTCCACATCTAGTTTGGGCATTCACTGGTATGCCCTTTAAGGTTGGGTACAGAGGCAGTTGGTGTGAAAGCAGGCAAACCTGACACAGGCAACTCCATATTGGATGCTCCGATCACTTGCCTTCTGTTCACAATGGAGAAGTGGCACCATGTGAATCCATAAGGCCAGTTGCAACAAGGCAGGTCACCTTCCTTCCTCCAGTTGTAAAATAAGGGAATAATCCCCACCTCACCACATTTTATGACATTTGCAAAGGCTTTCTTTCACTAGTCCTAAGCAATAAAACGGAGGATCTGTAAAAGCACAAATTGTAACATTCTGGTAGTTTATTTGTAAGAAATTTCACTGTTGCTGTGTGAAAAGAGGTTTTAAAACAATCTTAGAATGCTAATTCAATCTTAGAATACAAATGAAGTAAACATTATTTGTCAGGAGGCAGTAATACAAAGGAGGGGGTGGTGGTACTTACTAATACTGAGTTCCTTTGCATGGTTGACTGCCCCAATGCCCCCAAGGCTAGGCAGAGCCTGTCCCTGAGCAGAGCAGATGGGTGGGAACTGGGGGGTCACATCTCCTAGGCAGACAGGGCAGCTGCCTTGCAGCCCCAGCCAAGAGCCGTAGGGAATGCAGACCGGTGCTGCTGGAGCATCAGACCCTGTTAGAGCAAAGCCAGAGATCCAGAATTTTACATGAAATCACCCAAGGCCTACAAGTTGGCAGCTGATTCCTTCTTTTTAAAACACTGCTGGGGCCAAACACATCACATCTGTGGGCCAGGCTCGCTCATGGGCCTCCGGTGTTTGCCCTGTGTAGCTGTGCATTCCAAGACAGAGCATGTGTGGTGTCGGTCAGAAAAAGGGCCCCCTGGCTTGCACTGCGGACTGGTGTGTGGATGGGAGGGGCCAGGAGAGCAGGATGGGAAAACACCCAGGGCCCAGCTCAGTTTCCTTATCACACTGGAGTATTTGCAGCAGCTGCTGTCAGCTAACCTCATCCCTTCCCATCTCATTCCTGATTCCCCGGGAGCCAGTACCCAAAGGCGCCAGGAGCTCAGAGGAGGAGCAGATGAGGAGGGTGGGGGCAGCAGAAGGAGCACTGAGACAATGAGGATGTACCCTCGACTGACAAGAAGCCATTACTGTTGGGAGTGTGGCCAGGTGAACCACAGGGACTTCTGCACTTCATAAAGGGGGATGTAATACTTTCAAAGTGGTACCTGGGAAGAGAGAAGCGTTGAAGGCTGAAAGGAATTGGGTCATAGACAGAATAAGGTGTCCTAAAGGAGATGGCTGCATGTGAAGGCCCATCAGGACGTAAAGGAGAGACTCCTGGGTGTCCTGGACCATTCCGTCTGAGGCTGGACGATCCAACCTTCTTAGGTAAATATAAGCAGTGGCCCAGGTCTTCCTGTAATGGGCTGAAACTGTTGTAACTCTCATGTTATGCTTTATGGAATAAAGACTCTCACTGCCTTCCTCCAAGTCCAAATATAAAGATTTTCAGCTTTGATGTCATGATTTATATCACCCCCTGGATACGTGCCATTGGAATGGCTATACTTGAGTAGCTCTTGCTCTTTATGTTGGCAGAATACCTCACACAGGGACTCAGTGGTTATTTGTTGATTTGCTTGGTTAAGACATTTCATCTGTATTTTGTATTTAGTTTCTGTTTTCATATATTTAAAGATCCACTTGGCCCGCAGCTTTAATGTGTGTTTTTCTGCTTCATCACCCCGTGTTTCCATGTTTCTACTATTCACCTGTACTCCATCCTGACACCCAATATCATCTTTGTGTTCACCAAGACTGGGGGAATAGTCTGTAAATCAACAGTTCATTGTGAGGTACAGGTTTAGTGAAAAGAAACTGGATTAGAAGACAGTCTGTTAGCTGACAAGCCAGATTCCAAACTGCCGGCATTGTCTCAGAATCCACCAGAATGGAAGAAAAAGTTATTTGGAGTAATTTGCAAGTATGGGAGTGTGTTGTTCTCTGAAAATCTTCATGAGGATTAGGGAAAAAGTGATATATTTTTGTACTGACACGTTTGCTGAGGAACCTATTTTTAGATTTCTATAAATGGTAAAATTGCTGCCTTTAAATATTTATATGCATATGTATTTTTACAAACAGAAATTGGTTTTCTTTTCATTTTAAACCTTACTGTGATTTTAGAAGAACTTTTAATATTTATTCAAAATGGATAATCTCATTTGAACATGGTGGTAGCACCCTAATCCTTTCTTGAATCATCTCTGTATCCCCTATAATTAAACCCTATTATGTAAAAAACAGTATATGCATGTGGAAAGGGGGGAGGAGAGGAAACACTGAAAATTAAATCAACTGATGGGTCTGAGGTATGGGGTGGCAGGATTTTTCCCCATTTGTGTAATAATACTATTTGTGCAGCTTAAGAGAAAAAACTCAAAATGAGAAAGCAGTGTCTTCAGATTAAAAGTTTCCTTTTAAAAAATAGCCATTTGGTTTGAAAATGATAACCCCCTGTTTATCAGCCCTGACTTATTTTCACTTTCTTATACCATGCTCCTCACTCTTCAGCAAAGTACCCCTGGACTAGGGCACTGAAAGAGAAGAAAATTAGTTATTTCTGATACACAAGCCTGAGTACATAAGACTGTTTTTATAATAAGAAAGACATGTTATGGGAAATGAGATCTTTTTCAGGATCTGACAGTTGGCTCTGCAGTATGTAACTGGGCATTGGGACACCGCCAAGCCATCTGTCGTTCTGCGCTTGACACCTGTGGGCGCCTCTGCTGCCACCAGTGGTGATGACACTAAGCGGTGGGAAAAGGAGCTGGTTGGTGATGCACCTTCCGGACCGACTTCAGGAATTGCCACAGGCAGCCCCGACGCAAGTGCTGAGGGCATCCTGGCACCGGCGGCAGGTCACTGTGCACAGGCAGAGCTGCTAGAAGGAGGGTGGACGATGCAATAACTCTGTCCAGGGCTTAAATCTATACTTAGGTTCTTTTTTGTGTGTGTGAACTGGAAGTCGTATGACAAATTCCAAAATACCTGTTACCGTTGGTGAGCTGTGTCTGTCTTGTGCTTGGGGTCCTGCCGTGGGGTCAGTATGCACTGCTCCGTGCGCCACATCCGGATGTGCCCCCAGGTCACAATGGAATGCATGCCTATCCCCACCCAAAGCCCTGCTTTCCCACAGGGTGTGGTGAGGGCCAGGTGTGGGTTAGGTCAGCCCTCAGATGGATCACAGGGGAAAAGTCTGCCCTGAATTACTGCTCAGGCGAACATGAACAGGCACCACTGAGCTGGAGCAAGGACTTCACCGTCACTGTCAAAGGGGGGTGCTCCCTGCAGAGCCATCCCAGGTAGCCTGCATAGCTTGTGCTTGCCGCCTCTGGAAAGCCAGGCTGGGGACATTCAGAGAGAGCAATGCACTCAAAGGCAGTGCAAGCACCCAGTCGCCCTTCACCGTTTGTGTGTTTAAATAGGTATGATTTTAAACAGTAAAACAGCTAACCTTCCTGCCTTTCTCCCCTGCTTCTGTCTTGTCCAGGGCTTCATAAGTATTTGACCTTACTCAAAATGTGCAAAGAAGAATAATGGAAGCCCCCGAATACCTTGACTTGGATGAAATTGACTTCAGTGATGACATATCTGTAAGTAGTTATGGCTGCAAGCAAGGCCCCAGGAGATTCTGCCTTCCCCTACATGGGCAGCTTTCTCTCTCACAGTCTGCATCTCCTGAACTCTCCCAACCACATTTAGAAGTTGACAGCAGGAATCCCCTGTGGTGGACAAAGTGTGGTTTTGGGGTCTCGAAGACCAAGAAGTGAATCCCACTTAATTGTGTGTGAGCTTTGATGGGAGAGGCTAACTCCCTTAGCCTCCCGTTCCTCAACTGTTTCATTGTCAAAATTATTTATTGAGTGAATTTATGAAATAGGCACTTTCACAGAGTTCCGTATGCACACACAATGAATCCTGTCGGTGTTAATTCCCTTCATATGACTGGCTATGCCACCCCCTGCATTCTCTGGAGTTCACAGGGACACAACCTGAAGGACGGCCCGTGTTCTTAACTGACGAACAGTAAGAGGGATCCTTCCACTCCCTGCGGGTGTCAGAGCTCAGGTTGGGTGCTCATAGGAACACTGAGGAAAAGTCAGGATTGACAAGGGCTGGGTCAGGTGACCTCTGAGGCCCTGCTCAATTGCACAATGCCGTGGGCTAATGAACCTCAGTTCCCACTTCCTGCTGCCCCCAGCTTCACTCTTTGCTGCTCTGAATGGATGGTCCACAGGTGCCCTGCTGAAAGCTGACTCTAACTTATCCTAGGCCACACAATCAGTGTTGGCCTCTTGTAACTTCTTCCCAGGGCCTCTGAAGTCACAATTTCTGACCTTACTTTTCATTGATCTCACAGGGTGTGGAGCTTTAAGTCACCCCCAGAAATTGTCTCAAAAAGATAAACTTAACTTGAAGTGCCTCTAGCAACAGTGTTATTCCTCTACCCCTTACTTGGAAGTAAAATGTACTGACTGTAGCAAGAATTGAATGGCTGGGGTGAGTTTGATGAATGACCTATTTTATACAACCTTGGATGAGTCTCTGTGCCAGGGGAACAGGAATTCAGCCTTTCCTTACTTCAGCTGCTGCACAGTCTTTATTAATCCTTGTTAAGATCCATATGAAGTGAGTTTCTTTTCTTCCTTTCTCTGCTGTCTTTCTGTGTGTGTCTCTCTCGTTAAATTACAGCGCATGGCTTTAAAAGTGTGCAGGGCCTAGATCTTTGTAACATTCCCCTCGAGGTATTCTGAGCTGAGTGGAGAAAGACAAGGGAAATGAATGATAATGGGGGGAAGTGCAGACAGAGTGGAAGGTGTTTCAGAAAGGAAACTCATGTTATGATTAGGATCCCGGGCAGCCCTGTGAGCCTGGATAATGAAGTTACGTTTTATAAGCATAGGCTTGGCAAGGCCCCCATCTGGGCTCCAGCCTTGTTCTGACCTTTGCTGGCTGGAGCACATTAGTTTTGCCTCTCTGAGATACTCACCTAACTTTGAAGGTCGTTTGAGATTGAGTTTGAAATAATAATGAATGGGAAGCACTTAGCTTGGCACCTACTAAGTTGCTCTTAGAAATGGTAGCTTTTGTTATTATTTCAATGAATAATGCAATAATATTTATATGACCAATGGTGAAGAAAGAGCTCGAGGGAAAAAGATCAGGCATCATGTCAAGATTTTTTTTTAAAAAATACAATAGAGCAGTTGTATTTACGGAAGAATCATCTGGCAGCACCCCATAATTTTGATGAATTAGGAATCTCCACTTGAAAGATAATACAATATGTTAAGCAATAAGTGAAGCTGTTTAGCAAATTGGGATTCAGGATTATGCAATAGTCAAGCTTCTGTAACTTGCCCACTCTGAAAACAAGAATAAAGTTATCCGTCTGTAATCGTGTAACTACACTCAAACCTTCCCTCCTTTAAATGTTTCTATTGTTTGGAACTTTAACTTAAACTTATTGGTCGCATTTAAACTTAAGTCAGAAGGGAAAACATGAAGTTGCAAAGAATTATCAAAATGGCAGTGATTAACATTGATTGAGCCACTTCCTATGGGATAAGCATTATTTTGTTGAATCCTGACAACAATCCTATGAAGAAGGTACTTGTTTTCATCTGCATTTTACAGCTAGAAAACTGAAGCATAGGGATTTTATAGAACCTGTTTAGGTTACTCAGCTAGTTAGGAGTGCTCTGTTTCTGGAATGTCCACATCCAGTGCATAGAGACCAGGGATGCTTCAAAACAACCTAATGCACAGGAAGATCCCCCACAAGAAAGAGTTATCTGGCCTAAAATGTTGTTAGTACCAAGGATAAACAATTTTGGTCTATTTTAATCCACATGAAACTAAAGAGGCTGTACTTTGACTGCAACCTCGATGACATGGTAGATTTTGTTATAATAGGGCAATCTGAGTCAGGTTCAATACCTTCAATGTGCCAGAGTCTATTGCTCTTGCATAATGACTTCACAAGGAAAGCAGTGGTGATAACCTCTTAATACTGAAATGATTGTTCTTAACCTATGTAGGTAAAATAAGGAGCAATAAATGTTACAACTGTTTTAAGGACTAAATGGAGACTATTCAAATGCTAACACTGAAAAAATCAAGATGTGTTCATCTTGCTAATTCAGTGGCACAAAAAGAAATGTAGTCCCCCATAAACATGCCTTTATATCTAGGATTCTGCAAACTACCGCCTTAAGCCTCTTTGCTGGTTAAGTGGCAGGAGCAGAGAGGACAGTACATGGTACATTTGAAAAAGATGGTTATCAAAATGATGCCTCAGTTCAAAATTTCTCTTCTTACTCTCTAGCCATAGCCCTATTATACAGTCTAGGCTTTCTGTTTCATGACTTTTCCCTCTGGTCATGAGCCTGGTTATTGTTTTAATTAAAACATAAGCCATATATTGGTACAAAAAAAAAAACAAGTAGAATTTTTTCGCCTTTATCTAATGAGACAAAACACAGAAGGCAATCAAATTATTTTGAAATTTCCCAGACTCAAAAATAGTGCTCATCCTTTGCAAAATGCAAGGTTTAAACTATACTTTCTTGTAACCCTGCCATCTAAAAGGGCAGAACATTGTACAATAATGTTCTCCTTCAGATCAGTGAAGGAGAGATGACGACACACATAAACACAGAGGTTCAAAGTTGGGCTTTTCTGTCACTGCAAAGGGGTTTACAGATTTCTTTCTTTATTCCTACAGAAGCCAGATCCTCCCTGTCTTGAAAAAGAAAAATGCTCTGGAATAATATTCGATCCTAGGGTGCTTAGTAGCCATGGTGTATCTATTTCATTGAGAGGCCAATTTGCTGTTTTCAAAAATAGTACTATACACAAGACTGAATAAAGCAGAGGCTGAACCATGGATCTATTGAAGAATTTCGTGCATAGCCAGTGCATGTTGACTGTGTCATGCGCTGCACTGAACTTGTTAGGTCAGTCATCTTGGTTAAGCCCCACATCATCTCTGCAAAGCAGGCCCTATTTTAATCCTCCATTTGGCAGATGAAAAATATTGAGACTTAGAGAGGTCGTGTGATTTTCCCAAGTTTACAGATAGGTAAGTGGCAGGGATAGGATTTAAGTACAGAACTGTTGGGCCACATTGTTCTTCCCCTTCTGAGCACGTTGGTTGAACAGAAGACTCTCTGGCCCAATTGGACCAGAATCTCCATCCCTAGTTGGCACTGAAATGACTGCAAATAGCTTTTTGGAAGTAACAGAGTTTAATATATATAATAAATAAATAAAATGACACAAGCTAAAGAGAATTAGGCAAATCTCTTTACTGTACCTCAGCTTTCCTATCTGTAAAATAATAGTCATCTCAACCTATAGCACTGGATTTTATGGAGAAAATATGAAATTTCACATATATGTATGTAAACACATACCTTAATATTTATGTACATACACATAGACATATATGTATACACACAGAAACACACCTACATGTACATGCATACATGTAGATATGTATGTAGATAGACATCTACATATCTATATGTGCATACACCCAAGTAAAATACTCTGGCCCTCTGTGTGGGAATTTTTGTGCCTTTCTGTATCGCTGTGACAGCAGCTTTGGTGAAAGTTGATGTTTTTTGGGTAATTGCATAACCTATTTTGTGTGCATGTCAAATGAAATCAAGAAAAATAAGTGTCCTTCTACTTTACCAAGACCTTACAACCTAAAATAATAGCACAGAATTGAATGGATTCACTTTCTTACGGAGCTGGAACCACATTCTGGTGGAAAAATTAACTCTTAGGCAAATGAATCTCACTTTCAGTGTTTTCACATTTTCCGTCATGCAGGCTAGGCATCACTTGGCCCCCGTTGTTTTGTGTGTATCACCCTTTCCTCAGCTCAGTCTACTGACACCTCCCAGATTTCATTACATTTTGACAAAGAGCCATTTCACAGCAGTGGCAGGCCTCGAGAAAGAGTATGTTGAGCTTACCAAGTAGGGCAGAGAGTAGGGTGGGTGAAGAATATAGCTTTTACCCAGACTTGATATTTGAAAAAGAGTATAAAGATGCTCCAAGTGCCAAGAACCTGTCTTGCCCCTCCTCTCGAGCAAGGAATCTGTCTGAGAAAGATCCAATTATACTTTCTTCGCACTACCAAGAAGGTGACCAAGACTTCCACATGCGTGACTCTGGCTGCCTCGGTCCCTGCTTTGCTGTTCCTGTCTACCAGCCCAGCCCTTCCTAGCAGTCATCCTGCTCTTGTCTGTATTAAAACTTTTTTCAGGGCTTCTCAGTATGATCTAGCTTCATCAACCATTCAGATGTTCTGCAATGTCTTGTATTCACATCTAAATTACCCCTGAGTCTTCCTTTCTCCTACCCCCATTATCAAAAACCTCGCACCTTGTTCTGATATCATATGTCATCTGTGTTATCTTGTTTTCTTAACACCTTCCAAGAAAGGAATTAGGAATAATCTAATCCAGGAGAGATGAATTATACATGTCCCATAAGTAGTATAAAAGCCTGGGAGCAGAACCCAGGTCCCCAGACTCTTAAGTCTTGGAATAGACACCTCTTCTGAGAAAGTAGAAAG